CTACCCCTAGCCCGCGGGACAACTTTCTGCATGCGTCAGTGCTCTCTGCAGAAAAAAAAAAAAAAAAACTGAGCCGAAACCGGCTGGAAAGACCGATCGTTGCACAGAGTGAGCGTGTGACGAAAGAATGGGGAATCAACCCTTAGAACTACAGCTGTTAAAAGGAGCTGCAAGAGCAACCAAAGGGCAAACCGATTTTAGTGTGCTGGTCTCAAGGACCCACTGCAAGAATGTGCTGTGTTCTGCTGGCTTGTGGGGAGAAGTCTCAAAGTCAAAAAGGTTAGAGGGCAAACCAAAGTGCACCCAAGTATAATTCTGAGTGAATCACAATAATTCACCCAACAATAAGTGCTCCCTAAAAGGAACCATCGGCAGGTGTGAGGTCGCAAGCCCCTGAGGTCTTTGTACTTTGCCTATTGCATTTCTCACTTTACCTTTAGCTGGTTTGGCTTGGTGGCTTCAAGATTTGATCCCTTATTGTTGACAAATAAGAAGGTACCTCCAAGTTCCGAACCACCAAACCAAGCCAAACCAAACCACCCAACTATATATATGGGGAGACAATTAGACCGTCAGGAATGTATGCACAATATTGTAGATAGACTCACGTGCGCGTATGAATACATAGCCAACATTAAATGTGGAGTGCGTCTAGTAAGACATGCCGCTTCAGTCAGCAAACGTGAAACTTTTCAGGACTCCGTCCAGTGCCTGTTTGCGCGTCTGCTGTGACAAGCTCCTGGCGGCACTCTCTTGCCGAAGGGGCCAAAAACGCCTCCGGTCTGCGTCAAAGGTGGGCTTGTGCAAGAGAGGTTTGTCCTTTCGCAACCTGTGGGACAAGTTTGGCACACCTCCAAGAGGAATCCGGAATCACTTCTAGGAATCCGGAACCCCTCCCTGTTGCTTGAATCTAGAAAGAGAACATGTATGGGAGTGTGGAAGTATCGCATAGAGCCTCACTTTACATTGGCACAAAAGGCTATGTTTAAATAAGGCAGGGAGATCTGAATGGGGTCCCCAAAAGTGCCTTGGCAGGAGGGCGCCTATCCGTTGAGACCTCCAGGACAAACAATCAAATAATCCTCGATTGAAGGTTTGGATGGGTGGTTTATGAATTTGAATCCTGGCTCTTGTGAAGGAGAAATGGGAGGCTACCTACTAACCTCCAAACCAACAAACCAAACCAACGAGTACAGGGAAGCTGAGACAACAGCCCAGCGATGCTCACTCCTCCAAACTCAAGGCGCCTCCGGGAAACTCCCTTGTCCCTGCCAAAATCAGGAATGGGCACGGCTAGGATTTCCTACAACACACATGCTTCTTCCATTCTTTCCTTCTGGTTCAGAGTTTAGATTTCCCCGGGATTTTGGTCTGATCTTTCCTGTAGCTTCCTTTTGGAAGGTCAAACATAGGACGCCTTTTTGATGTCCGCCTTTGAAGGGGGCCAGAAAGGGATACATGGGTTTGACAATCCTCCGGGAGGGGGGGGGGGCTTTTTGTTGAAATTAAACCAGTGAGTTGAATCTTCAAAGGGTTGCAGTTAACACATTTCGCAAGCGACGATGCACCACGTGGAAATGAGGTGGATCCGTACAGATAAGCAACCCTTATTTTGAAAGCCCCCGATCCGGGGGTTTCACCCCTGAGCAAGCCCAACCCTTAACCCTTGTGAGGCACCTACCAGGGAGCCCACAAGTTTGCGGATATAATTGGCATATCAGTGGTCACACTAGATTCCCTCGACGTTGCAAGTGAACCAACCACAAATCATGGTGCATGGCTTGTTTCCTGTTTGCTGCATACGGCTCCGTCCAACCGTACAAAAACCCGCTTGTTGAATGGCGTTGAAGAAAATCAAACATAACTCCCTACATGTATTTTGCAATTCCCCACATTTTACGGCGTCAACCGACCTCTTCTGGTAGCCCAAACTTCCGGTGCGTGAACAGCGTGAAAACACAATTACTAGCGACCTCCAGAAAATTTGGCTGACATGGAAAACTACCACCTAGCCAACCGAGCGATCGACCAACCGACCAACCGAGCGAGCGAGCGAGCAATCCACAATCAAGCAATCAAACAAACAAACAAACATTCTCATCCTCTAGCGAATCTCGCGTCCTTGGGGAGCCATTGCCGCTCGAAGCTGATGGTCCCGTCTTGCACCAACAAGCGCCTCAGACAAATCTAGAGAGGATGTCATGAAAGATCATGTGTCTTACTAAGTATGTTGACCGTCCACAGCACGCCATGAAAAACACGGAACTGCCCCCTAGATGTTGGTTGGGACCACCAAAAAACATGATTCTAACAGATCTTGCTGGCAACGGACTTGGGAAGACCACCTCACGGGCACCACGGGATGAAATCCAAGCCCTTCATCGGGAGAGGCTAACCCCTGTACTCCGCCACTGTTTCAATTCGAGAGATACCTGCGGCTCCCGGGTTGTTTTGGTCTTTCCCAAAATTCAGAACCCCCGTGAGGAAGTCCTCCCATGTTGGCCGGCAAACACCAACAGCAAACAGGCTTGTCCACGTCCATGACCTTGACGTGTTGGGCCACCTTTCCCAGTCCAAAAAGAGGAATCTTTCATCTTGACAAGCAACAGCTCTCTCCTTCAGACCCATTTGAAAGTGTGCCTTTTGAGGGTACTCTTCCGGGTTGGTTTCAAGGGTGAGGAATCACCATAGACACGGAGACACACACCGATTTTAGAGAGAAGGTCAAGCCCCCGCACATCTTTGCAGCAGCCTGGGGCGGCCACGTGCCATCCTCCGCCTCGATCCGCACCCCGCCGCCTGTTCGACTGGTGTCCCTCCGGCCAACAGGGTCCCACGTTGGGAAACTTCCATGGCTAAACAGGCTAAACGTGGTTGCTGAAGGTCTGGTTCCAATGAACATCTCTACAAGGAAACCAAATTACTCGGGCGATTGGCACCCACCCCAACGCAAAGAACTGCATCCAATCATCCATTTAACCGCTCTTTACGCCCTCTTGACTTTCACCGGACAATGCATAACAGGACAACACGGATCGGCAAGTTCTGGGAAGGGGCACGCGCGTGAGCGCGCCAAACCTGATGACCCCTGGCAGGTCATGGTCATAGAAATATGAACAATGTGGGGCTTAAGCATGATTCGACAATATTGTTTCAGTGACTGGCAAGATACAAGTAGTTTGGGAAACATGGAGGCTTGACATTGTGGACGTGGAACCTGATGTTCCACAACCAATCATATGCATGGGATTTATAGCCTGCGCTCAACTTCCTTTCAACCAAGTCAGTTGAAACGGATGTCTCAAACGAGGGCTTTTTTGCAATCCCAGTATTGTAACACCTGTTCATAGGATGGGTGAAGGGGGCTGCCGTGATACATGTCCTTTCAGGTGAAAATAGATGCTGCTGGTGAGATCCATGTATTTCCCACCGAACTGAGAGAACACCGTCTGTCAAATAATCTCGCCTGAGAAGCCTCAAATCTTGTCCCTGGCTTTTTTGCATCGACGCTGCGCCTGGGGTTTGATGGATGCTGGCCACGCGATAGAAGTGGAACCTGAGGCCGCACAAAGCCGGACTATCGCCGTGCTGGATGGGAAGATTTGATGCCAGAAAAACAAGGAATAAAAGGAAACCACCAAAGAACAGCATGGGATTCTAAAAACATGGCAAAACAAACGGAGCCAGCAATCTGAAAGGGTTGGATTGCAGGTGGACCTCTAGGAAATTGAGTTTTTGCTGGCAAACTCCGAGCTTCTTGGAGATTATTTCATGAGTTTTGAAGCTACCGGAATAATCAAGCAACAGGTCTCCGAGAAGGAACACTACACGGCCTGAGGCCGTGCGAAACCGTATTCAACCAGCACAGGAAAATCAACGACAACAAAGCACAAACCCTAGAAGTGAGCAAACCAAATCCCTTTGTCAGGTCGCTTTAGTTTGCCCCAAGTCATAGAGGGATGAGCAATAGACCTGTTCAGCTCGGCTGCGTCTCAGAGCAATTTGTTGCACCCTTGGGCTTTGTGATTGTCTCAGGGAGCTGCTCCCCGTCTCGTGGCCGCGGCGCTTCGCTTCAGTCAGATGGGAACGCAGAGAAGAATAAGGGCGCTGCGCTGCCTAGAGCTTGTTTCACCCGGTTACACGTGAACAAAGGCAACCAAATAAATGCACAGGTGCAAACATATTGTACGCATTCCTTTTTTGCCCGCAAAGGAGAAGGAAGGTCAAATGGGGGAATCTTGAGGTATTTCCCAGGGAGGTACCCCCATGTCTCCACACACTTCGCGGTTCCCTGGCAAGGTGCTTATGCGATATTGGATTACCTGCCCCTCAACCACGAGGGATCCTTTCGAGGCCATCTATTCAAATCTCTCCTCCCTGACCAGCAAATTTCCCCAAAGGAAGCCACAAGGAGATGCACCACCTGTGGCTGGTGGTTGGAGACTCGAGGCCCTCTGGACCTCAGTGCCTGAACGCCCCTCCTGTGACCTGAACGGACACTCCTTCCCCCCACAACCTCGCCAACCAAACCTTAGATGCACAGTAACATTCCGGGTGCCTAATGAGGGGGTTGGACAACCCAAAAAAACACATCCCTTTTTGGCTTTCTTTGGGAACAATAAGAGTTGTGTGCTACGGATCTTGCCCATTGTCCATCACCCGACCCACCACAATTCCAACTCGATGCAAGCTTCGTTCAAATCGAGTGACCACAGAACCTTCGCACAGGTCTGGTTGCAAGATCAAAAACCAGATATGTGATGCTCAACGGCAGTGATCAACCTCAACCCCGCACCATGCCAACGGCCGCCCTGATTATTTTGCTGCGCGCATCTTCTCTGGCTTAAAGCATTCTACATCTAAAACATCCTCTGCAGCTTCCCACAGAGGGCGCAGCAGGCGAAAGCAATGAGGCACTGACTGCGTTGCTCCTCTGCACATTCAGCAGCACGTGTATCTCAAACGCATACACATATGCATTCACATGTAGTATACACACACACACTGCTATTTTATTCCTACATTCATATGCATTCATAGTATGCTTATGCACCTACCGAGACATGGGCCCAAATCATGTCAACGGCAGAAGCTGTTGCTAACCAAACACGAATTGCTTACTCGCGCTTCACCGGCCGCTGCAGGCTCTTGTCATCCGCCCGGAACTGCATCATGGTGTTGAATCTCGGGTGTGTGCGAGAAGGTTGCTCCGAATATCTCGTGAGCTTCAAGTTGTGGGAGGCCAAAACGGCCAAATCATTGGCTGGTTCCTTGAAAGGGACCCATAGATGTCCCCTTTCATTTGGTTTTTTGGGTTTTCCGCCCGCGGCAGGAGGCAAACCAATGCCGAGGCGCTTCACGATGTACTGCTTGTCCTTGAAGGTCATGGTGTACTGCTTGAAGCCCTTGGAGTAAGCGTCCTGGCCCGGCAGGTAACCAAGGAATCGGAACCAAGGAAAATGGTCGTCTTCATGTAGCACCAGAGCTTTAGTTAAAGCAATGTTGTTCCGCTTACCAAAATACAGGTCGCTGTCGTCCCACAAGAGGCGACGACCACTTTAGCTGACGTTTCTTGGATTGACCGCTTTAGCTTGCGGACTATCGCTGGCGACGCTGGGGGTGACCACTTTAGACTGCTGGTGATGCTGGGGTTGACCACTTTCGCTTGCGGACTATCGCTGGTGATGCTTGGGTCGACCACTTTAGCTTGCGGACTATCGTGACATCTACTTTTTGTATGCGGAGAGCATTTCCTTTACTAAAAACTGGGGTTGCTGTGTCGACTACTTCTGTCAACAAAGGCCGTCCAACGTAGACCGAGTCACGTCAAGCTTGAGTGTCATTCTTTCCCTCAGTGTCGACCACGTTTTTGTCTACAAACAAGAGCGACGTGTGCTTGTTGCCGGCGGAAAAGCATTTTCTTTGCTACAGCGCTGGTGATGCTGAGGGCGTCGACCACTTCAGCTACACTATCACGACATCTACTTGTAGTAAATGGAAAAAGCATTTCCTATGTTAAAGCACTGGTGATGCTGAGGATGTCGAGAACTTTCTGTTGGTAAGCGAAAAGCATTTCCTTCACTAAACACTGCTGATGCTGGGGGTGTGGAGCACTATGCTGGTGATGCTTGGGTTGAACACTTTAGCTTGCGGGCTATTGCTGGTGATGCTGAGGTCGACGACTTTAGCTTGCGGACTGTCGCGACAATATCTATTGTTAGTAAGGGTGGTGGGGGTGTCGACCACTTCACTTAACAAAGAACGTCCGAAGCACACCAAGTCACGTCGAGCTCGAAATGTACACTTGTCCTTTTCCTCATGCGCTGTACAAGGAACTTTGATGCCTCCCAGCGCCTCTCCAAAGTCGAGTATTGAAACCGCGACATCTACTCTTTGCTGGCAAGAAAAGCGTTTCCTTCACCAAAACACTGGGTGTCGACCACTTCTGCTTGCGGACTATTCACATCTACTTTTAGCGTGCGCAAAAGCATTTTCTTTACTTAAGCACGGGTGAGGCTGTGAGTGTCGACCACTTGAAGACAGCGACATCTTCTTTTAGTAAGCCAAAAAGCGTATGCTAAAGTGGGCGACCCACAGCATCACTTGTGCTTTAAGAGAGGAATGTTTTTTCCCTTGTTTAAGGCAAATGTCGAGATAGTCTGCAAGCTAACGTGTTCAACACCCCAGCATCACTAGTGCTTTGGTAAAGGAGGTGTTTCTCCACTAACTAAAACAAATTGCTCGACACCCTCAGAATCACCAGTGCCTAATGAAGGAAGCACTTGTCCGCTCACGAAAAGTAGATGTCACGAAATGTGCCTGTTTGCGGCTGTCGCTATTGCAGTCTCTGTCCATGCCAGTTAAAACTCTCATCATGTGCCTCATCTCTTCCTTTCCATGTCTACCTTCCTTTTCAATCGGAACTTGAGTCGACCCAGTAGATCAACCCGGCTCTTCCGGGTTCCATTTGACAAGTTTGCTGCGTAAAGAACTTTGAGGCCGCCGAGCGTTTTTCAACAGTCGATTTGGGAAACCGCGACATCTATTTTTAGTCGGCACAAAAGCAGCTCCTTTCCTGAAATGGGGTGTCGGCCACTTCAGCTTGCGGACCATCGCGACATCGACTTTTAGGAGGCTGAAATGCATTTCCTTTGTGACGCTGGGGTTGACGCTGGGGTTGTCGACGACTTTTGCTTGCGCACTATCCACATCTACTTTAAAAGCATTTCTTTTACTTGAGCACTGGTAATGCTGTGGGTGTCGACCACTTTACCTAGTCTAGTGGGACGACAAACATCTACTTGTTGTATACGGAAAGCGTTTCCTTTCAAGCACTGCTCATGCTTGGGGTGTTGACCGCTTTAGCTGAGCGCTGAAAGAAGAAGGAAGATGACGCGGAGTGCCCATGCAGGACTGCACTAACAAAGGTTCCCAAACTGTTTGGGAACCTTTGTTAGTGCAGTCCTGCATGGGCACTCCGCGTCATCTTCCTTCTTCTTTCAGCGCTCAGCTAAAGCGGTCAACACCCCAAGCATGAGCAGTGCTTGAAAGGAAACGCTTTCCGTATACAACAAGTAGATGTTTGTCGTCCCACTAGACTAGGTAAAGTGGTCGACATACACAATATATAGCTTCTTTCCATTGATTCCAAGGTAAGGGAGCACGAAGTCAGGGCTGCCTTGTGACACGCACGAAATTTGAACATACGGACAATCAAAGGTGTTTCGCACTACTTGGGAGGACTTTTTCCCGACCCACAGATCGGTTCAACATCTAGAATTGATACTGGTATCGGGGTGCGATTCACCTGGCCCACGTGCAAGGAAACAAGCAAAAGAGGATGAACAAATCAGCTCGCAACCATGTATTCTTTCAGGGAGACCCACTGCACTGAGAAAACCGTTTCATCAAGCAGCGAACACTTCATTTTATTTCGGAAGCTTAACAGGGCTTCCTTTTCAGAACCAAATGGAGTCCAGCCAAAAAGGAACCTGGTCATGGCTGTCGTGTGAAGCCATCCTAGCTTTGACACACGTGTGCAGTGTCCCGAGATGCGAAACCAATAGGGCGATACCTTTAGTTTTCGAAATATGGCATTAAAAAAAGGAAGAAACAAAAGAAGGAAACAAAAGAACAAAACAATCATGATTTCCTGGCCCCTACTTGCACACTTAGGTGCTTCCAGCAACATGGAACTGTGGTTTGCCTCAACTGATTTCAAAATGGTCGGGCGGGTCCCTATTGAATAGCACCCAGTCACGGAAAATCAACCGTGCGGTGGCAAAAATTGAGTTTTGCCTGTTGAACCCCCCTATTCAATTAGCATTAAGGGAGGCGGTTAGCTGTTCAGGAGAGCACAATGGTGTGTATCGAAAGAAGACCAGCCCCAGAATGGTCAGGCTCGTTTTGGTGTCCAATTAAACCAACCCGGGAAAGAGGTGCCAACTCAAAGAACCACACCCACAGGGGCGACCTTCATCTCTCTTTGGAAGGCATAGGTATACTCTGGCGGAGAACCGGAGAGTCCTCCAGCTGCTTGTTCATCTTGGGCGTGTACTTGGTCCAGGCAGCCTCATCATCTGCACCCGCCTTGATCTTCCGCAAATCGCTCATGAAGTACCACTTGCCCTTTCCAGCAACCGTCTCCTCATCGGAACAGGGAGCGGATACAAATATATTGTTTTCAAGTTTGACACATTGGATTAGATCTGGGAACTACACGCTTATATACGTATGTAATAAACATGCGAATGATGCGAATAGTGCTTTTACTAAAACTAGTATTACTATATAATAACAATCGAAAGGGTCGAGATTCAATTATGTTTGTAATCTTGCTTTGGTAGTTCTTGTTCTAACAATTTTAGACCAGCACTGTCAACATCATCAGCATCGTTTTAACATCCCCAGCATCATTTTCAACATCCTCAGGTAGGTTTAGTAGGGTGGGTTTGGGGTGGGGGTCGGGTTGGTTTGGGGTTGGGTCGACTGGTTTCGGGTATTTATTGGTGGGCGTAGGCTTGGTTGGTTTGGCTGCGCTTCAGGGTAGGTTGTGTGGTTTAGTGATGGTTTAGGTTGAGTTTTGGGTTGCTATAGGGTTTGATTGGTAGGGTTGTTTTGGGGTGGGGAGTAGGCTATGGTTGGGCTTAGGGTTTGCTAAGGGCTTATTTAGGGTCAGTTTAAGGGCTGGCTTAGGGTTGGTTGAGGGTGGGAATGTAGAAAGCCAAAGCCACAGGAGCCGCAGAAAACCCACCAAAAGCCACAAAAGCCAGACAAGCCACTCATCCAAAAACAAAACAACTTCTGAGGGGGAAAAAAAAAAAAAACATCCTGAAAAAGATGGTCCTCCACAATAATGTATCGACGTGAACGAACACATGGACGCAAAAAAGAACCGCCATAGGTCAAGTTGTAAACCCTATGTGATGATTAGATACTATCGAAACTGTGATGGTCTTGTCCGAGCGATTTGCACACCCCAACTCACACTCACACCTGCCATGGTGGTGGAAAACGGGTGCCAACCTTCAGCAACCTCAGTCCAAGTCCGCTTGCACCTCAACCCAAAGCAGCTCTCAATCGATCCTTGAACGCCGTCCAAATAAGGAGAGCCTCACAATGGGTATTTTTCCCTTTGACAAAACCAGTAGGTTGGGATTTCTGACCACCGACCATCCTGGACGGAGCATTTGAGCCACGATCAATATTAATAACATCCTCAAAAGCCTGGCTTTGGACTGGTGAGCAACCTGCATTTTGTATGGGTGCGGATTTATTTTTGGATTTTTTTTCGTTTTTTTTTGGGATTTTTTTTCGTTTTTCGTCCGGGCCAGCAAAATGTCGTATTTTACAGCATTTTCTCGCGAAATTGACGCATTTTACACTAGCTCGTCAACATCCCCAGCATCGTTTTCAACATCCCCCGCATGTCCGACCAACATCCCTAGCATCACCAACAAATCGTGGGTAACAAAATCCAAAAATGTAGCTGGCGGGTTGACGGGGTCAAAACAATAACGCTTCAAACAGGAGGGCATTTCAATCCCAGCAAAAAAAAATACCAAAAAACAATTAAGAAAAACAGAGCGGGGTAGTGATGATTCGAACAGGGGTGCAATTAAATCTCTGCAAAAAGTCTAAAAAGTAGCGGGGGGGTTGGGGGGGGCGGCAGCCCCCCCCATGATGTTCGAAGAATTGATGATTCAACTAGGGGTGCAATTAATTAAATCTCTGTAGAAAATCTAAAACGTAGCGGGGGGGTTGGGGGGGGGCGGCAGCCCCCCCATGATGTCGGAAGAAGTGGTGATTCAAGTAGGGGTGCAATGATTCAAGAAAGGGTGTGATAGAATTTAACAGGCAGCGGGAGGGTTGGCGGGGGTGGCTTCCCCTATGATGTTCGAAGAAATGCATACATACAGACATACACGGACTACACAGATTACCTAAAAAGTCGTATTTTGCAGCATTTTCTCGCGAAATTGGACGCTCGAAAAAGTGATGATTCAAACAGGGGTGCAATTCAATCTCTGCCGGGCCAGTAAAGTGTCGTATTTTACAGCATGTTCTCGCGAAATATACCCGCATGTCCCACCAACATCCCTAGCATCACCAACAAATCGTGTGACGGGGTCAAAGAAATGATGATTCAAGTAGGAGGCCATGTCAATCCCTGTAAAAAATACATAAAAAGTAGCGGGGGGGTTGGGGGGGGGGCGGCAGCCCCCCCCACGATGTTGTTTGCAGAAGTGATGATTTGAATAGGGGTGCAATTAAATCTCTGCAAAAAGTCTAAAAAGTAGCGGGGGGGTTGGGAGGGGCGGCAGCCCCCCCCCATGATGTTCGAAGAATTGATGATTCAACTAGGGGTGCATCTCTATAGAAAATCTAAACGTAGCGGGGGGGTTGGGGGGGGCGGCAGCCCCCCCCATGATGTCGGAAGAAGTGGTGATTCAAGCAGGGGTGCAATGATTCAAGAAAGGGTGTGATAGAATTTACAAGGCAGCGGGAGGGTTGGCGGGGGTGGCTTCCCCTATGATGTTCGAAGAAATGCATACATACAAACATACACGGACTACACAGATTACCTAAAAAGTCGTATTTTGCAGCATTTTCTCGCGAAATTGGACGCTCGAAAAAGTGATGATTCAAACAGGGGTGCAATTCAATCTCTGCCGGGCCAGTAAAGTGTCGTATTTTACAGCATGTTCTCGCGAAATATACCCCGCATGTCCCACCAACATCCCTAGCATCACCAACAAATCGTGTGACGGGGTCAAAGAAATGATGATTCAAGTAGGAGGCCATGTCAATCCCTGTAAAAAATATATAAAAAGTAGCGGGGGGGTTGGGGGGGGGCGGCAGCCCCCCCCACGATGTTGCTTGCAGAAGCGATGATTTGAATAGGGGTGCAATTAAATCTCTGCAAAAAGTCTAAAAAGTAGCGGGGGGGTTAAGGCCGCCCCCCCATGATGGTCGAAGAATTGATGATTCAACTAGGGGTGCAACCCCCCCATGATGTTCGAAGAATTGATGATTCAAGTAGGGGTGCAACTAATTAAATCTCTGCAGAAAATCTAAAACGTAGCGGGGGGGTTGGGGGGGGCGGCAGCCCCCCCCATGATGTCGGAAAAAAGCCACCTGCCGAAGAGGAACTGGGAATGCAGAGGATGCGAAAAGCCAAAAAGCCACCAAAAGCCGCATAAACCAGCAAAAAGCCGAAAAGCCTAGAAGCCCAGAAGCCGAGAAGCCAAGAAGCCGAAAAGCCAAGAAGCCAAGAAGCCAAGAAGCCAAGAAGCCAAGAAGCCAAGAAGCCCAGAAGCCGAGAAGCCGAGAAGCCAAGAAGCCAAGAAGCCGAGAAGCCAAGAAGCCAAGAAGCCGAGAAGCCAAGAAGCCAAGAAGCCGAGAAGCCAAGAAGCCAAGAAGCCAAGAAGCCAAGAAGCCAAGAAGCCAAGAAGCCAAGAAGCCAAAAGCGAAGAAGCCAAAAGCGAAAAAAAATCCAAAAAAAAAAACGAAAAAAAAATCCTAAAATAAATACCCCTCCATTTTGTATAGTGATTGGGTGAGTATGGCCCCCTTTACTACAGTGCATGATGAGTCATGAGGGATATTGACCGTTGCTCAAATCCGTTTATGTAGTCAAACGAAATAAGACAACCCAAGTAAAGCCATCACAGAGAAGGCCTCAAGGTCTCACGGGGAAAGGCTATGACAGGGGCCCCTGAGTTTTCAACTTGGTTGGACCTCCCAACGTGGCAGTAAATCAATGCAAGCCGCCACTGCACTAGTCAACTTTTGCTTGGAAGCCCCCAGCGCTATTGAGGGGTCTTGCCAAAAGACACCACATGGGTGAGCCTACCCGCATCGCTGGCCATTGGATCTCTGCTCCTTGCTCGCAGACTTCTTCAGCTTGGCCGACACCGCCGCGAACTCTTTGGCAGCAATGGCCTTAGCCCGGAGGAAACACAAGGCCCCACCCTCTGGAAAAGTCCGGAGGGAACATTCTTAGGTGATCTTAGAAAGGTTCTTAGACGGGGTTTCTAGATGGGTTCGGAGATCTCTTCTGCGATGGGAGGGCCACAACGTCTCCAAATCTTCCCCCGCTAAGCAGGTTTTCACGTGGCTTCCTCAACTCGTAAACCTCCCCCCCCCCCCCCCGGCCGCGTCAAGAGATGCCCTTCACAGTTGCAGGTTCAGTCTCTTGGACCCGCAAGAAGTGAAGGACCCGCAAGAAGTGAACAACCGTTGCTGGCTGGTGGACAATCACTTCCCACATGAAAGGTTAAAGGTCAAACCTAAGGCGATCGGTTGCTCATGTGGGGAATGTCTTCTTGTGTTCTATGAGCCGGATTAAGCTATATAAGCTGGATTAAGGACGAAAAACATCAATGTCAACCACCTGTTGCCTACATGTCCAGGCCATGCCAGCAAGCGCGCTTGATGAGCGGATGAAGGCGAATAGTGCACGAAGTACACTGCACTTGAAAACTGCAGCTTTTTCAGCTGCTGTAAACAGAAAACGTGTGGACACCAGGAAAGGTGTGCAATCGGCCATTTCGGTGACAATTGCTATCTTCTGGCAGCACCTATTTATGGTGTGGGCCTGTCCCGCACTACACTTTAACCCAGGTTTTGATTGTGGTTTCCTAAGTGAGAGGTCGACATTGATCCTTGCAATAGGGAATGCCCGGCGCATGCCACACAGGATTTATTCACCGAAATCCGTTCGGATGCCATGGGTGATCAAACCTCTGCTATACTTCAACCCGGGGATGGTTGATCCTTGAACTGATTCGTGCCCACTGACAAACTCAGCTTCCCCAATGTGCCAGAAGGTGAGCATATCTGAGCAGCCCCACTTTGATGACTCCCCTGGGCCCGGCTTTCGCCTTCGCCTTGCCTTTCGCCTTGGCCTTGGCCTTGGCCTGCACGTGTCAAGAAACTTGCACTTACTGTCTTTAACGTGGAACCCAGAAAACCGACGGGAAACTCCTTTTTTGGGCTTCCTTTGGGGTTTCATGTTGACATGGAACCCACAACACCCTAGTTTGTAGAGAGGAAACTCCTTTTGGGGGACCCTCCTTTTCGGTTCCATGTTCATTTGGAGGGGAGTATACCGGCAAAGGAGACAACAGAAGGGAGACTCAAAACGGTGAATTCTCAAGTTCAGCGCTTGGGGCTCACATCACATGTTTCAGTAACATCTGGACTACTGCCCCAAACCGGGATTTGGTAGCCAAGACTTGGTTCTTCGCAAATGGCTCGGTTCCGCCTTTGCCCAAGCTACTTGCGTCGGGCCACTTATGATAGTATCAGACAAGCGCTAAATTGATAGTCCGCGCTAATCTTTCCCTCTCCTGAACCTTGTCCGCGGACATCCAAACATTCGCAATTGAGGCAGTATTTTTGGGGGTTCCCAAGGTTGCTGTTCTGTCGCCAGCTTAGACTTAGATTATCTGGGAGTTAGCTACTCCTAGTTCTAGGTTGGCACCTGGCGAACTTGGGGTTAAATCGGGGTTGCTCCCCACCTGGCTGTCTTTCCACCACAGCGGCTACCTCGTCTTCTAGGATTGGTGCGGTCCCAGCCTGGGTTTGTCTCCCAATGGTACATGGAACCCATGAAATCGGCTTCGAAATCCTTTTGGTTTCCCCGTTTAAACCAACCCAAAAAATGGCACCCTGACAAAAGACAAACTTGAAGTTGGAGGTCTCTAAACCGATTTTCAAGAACAGCGCCCCAGTTGGAAAGTCGGTTCACGATTCACCCTGAGGCCTTATGAGTTCTTCGGAGAGGTCGGCCTGAAATCAGTGCCAAAGCAAGGGATCCTTGTTTAGCCCGTTGTGCAAGAAAGCCACTGTGAAACCACCGCGAAAGTAGCCAAGGGTCCCCCTATTCAAGTGCTGCTAAACCTGGAATTAGCCTCATGCAGAATCCAGGGATTGACCCCCAGCTCCTGCGATAAAACCAGATCTCCGGCAAGGTTTCAAGTCCGTACAAAATACACAACTCTCACCGGAGGAAAGACTCCGCCGCAAAGCACCACCGTCCGAATCAGCCCTGGCCCGCCTTAGGCTTTGCCTGCACATTGAGAGGAGCTTCGTATCCGATTGTGGATCAGTCAAACTAAGATTCTCAGACTGCTTCAGAGTGTTATGCCCTTCCCCGTGGTTCCCAACACCAGTGTACTAGGCAACTAGCCAGCGACCTTTTACAGGGTGGCTCCCTTGGCTTGGCAAAAGCAAACTTGTTGTTGCAGCGTCTCATTTCTCTCAGTTGTTATTTGAGCAAGGATCAGTCTTGCACGCTTGCTGCGGCAGCCCTTGGCCAGGCTTCGCTCGAGTGTGTTTCTCCTCAGGTGCTGTTCATGTGCAACAACGCGTTTGATTCCCTGGTGCGCATCAAAATAAGGAACTCGAAATTGGGTGATTTCCTATAGTGTAAGCAAGCTAACCAAACGGCACCACACAAGCATGCGATAACTCTTTTATCCAAGCATTGTGTTGGTGCCGGGGACTCATCTTCCCCTCAAGGAGACTCCAGGCTGGGTGGGCCCAGTGGCCCCCCCACCTGGATCCAAATCATGAAGGAAAAGCACACTAAGGTCGAAAGCATCTCCATTCAGGAGACGGGGGAGAAAGACAAAATCAGAACAGAGTTCCTGTTTAGGGACTCTATTCAGCAGATCGAACACCTCAGCCCACTGGTTGAACTCGCGCGGCACGTATGCGTGCGGAGCAGGAGCACCAATTCCATCAAGATAGCCGCTGTGTGCAGTTTCCTGGACCCAAGGTTGCATGACGTTGCCCTGATTATCGCTGCCCGCCGGGAGTCTCACCCGGGAAGACAAGGGGCCCTGATGAACCAGGATCATGGACCGTGCCCAGCATTTCCAGGGCCGCAATCCGTCGCTTGGGGTCCCCATCCTTGAAAGCCCAAGGATACTCTGCCTCATGAATCTGCTCATGGAACCAGTACACCTCCTCCTTCACCGGTTCCACCTGGTTGGAGCACCAGCCTCCCGCAAATGCTCCGAGGCGCTCGCATCGCTACAGCCCCACCAACAAGTACGGGGAGTACTGGACGAAAGGCGTGTTGAAGAGTAAACGCAGCATGAAGGCCAGCATTCTGACCACCTTGGGCGGCCTCCCCACCGTGGTGGTGGCCATCTTCCACGCCCAATAAACACGCTGAAGTTGCCCACTAAAATCGGCCCAACGCCTTCTCAATGTCCTTGGCATGCATGGCCTGGCCTTCCACCATGGTCTGCAAAACCTCCATAACCAGTATGTGCTTGTGGGTTGGGGTCCATGTGTTGACCTCCGCCAGATGCGTCTTCTTCCAGCTGAGCGGGCCCAGCGCCAGAACATTGGCCAAAACAGCCACCGCCAGGCTGACTGCTTCCTTGCTCCGGAGCAGCCAAAGGAAGTCGTCGACGAACACAAACTGCCAGTCCACTTGGGGGAAGAGCGAGTAGAGAACCCTGAGCAGCAGCGCTGCCAGACGGCCCCAGTATGACTGGGCACTGGCCATGCCGTACGCGCCCACCTTGTTCACCCACCTCACCAGGGACGCCGCCAATCTTTCCTGAGCACCTTTACCCCTCTCTGTGCCTTGGTGATGTCTGCTTTGAGCAGCACCCACTGGGTGCTCGGCTGTGGCCACTGCCAAATCTTGGGCCACCGCACTTGACCCTTTAGCTCGGGGCCGGAGCTGGATCCTCTGCTGCCGCGTGTAGCCAATGAAGGGCCTGCACCCCATCGAGCACCGGAGCGAAATGGTGTCATTTGCCTTTAACTGAGCATAGATGGTGCGGATCTTGTCCCCTTCGTCGATCCCTGCCAGGGGACCTGGGCAGAGGCCCTCGGGGTTGCAACCGCAACACTCTGCTGCTGCTGCTTTTGTGAGTGGACCTTCCACCATACCCAAGGGGACCTGGATGAGCTTTTTCGAAGTGGTGTAAGTTGAGGAGCACAAGCCGATCTGGGACAGAAGGTCTTCCCAGTCCCTGATGCATTTGCCTCGTTGCGTCGCCTGTCATGCTGCCTGCGGCCCCAAAACCACAGTGCGAAAGACAGGGGGTGTGGCAGGTCTACGCGAAGCCAAGTGCTCGGTTGGGGTCTGAGTTGTGGTCGGGCGCTCGCTTTCCTGAAATTTAACCGGCAGTACATGCGGTTTGGGC